AAATTTTTATTAACAAACTTGCGTAGAGTGTATAATATCATTAAGAATGAAAAATCATTTCAGAAATTTGTGGAATTTAATCACAATAAAAAATATGCAAATATTCTCTCCACAAAAAAGATCTGAGAAGTTATTTCACTTGGAAAATGCTTCGTTCATACCCGTTAGATAAGCATATGTGCGCAATATTAACTTAACTCGGCAAACACTTTACTGTTTTAACCTTAAATTATTACCCATAGACACGCAAATTCTTTTGTAATGCTATGTATTAACCGAAAAGCGAGAAAAAAGATTTCTCTTTAAACACCAAAGAGACACTGTTTGCCCTGGCAATTCGTCCATAAATTACTATAGTAAACAAGGACAGAGCCATAAAAAACAACAAAAAACAAAATTAAAACACATTCATCTAACAAATTTTACCTTGCACTTGATAATTGAAAGCACCAACAGTAACAACAACAACAACAATAATAATAATAATAAGAATAATAAGAATAATAATAATAATAATAATAATAATAATAATAATAACAACAACACATACAAGACAGCACTAAAGAAAATAATATCGCGTACATATGCTTACATGCACGTTACACTCCCTTATTATAAATCTGTATGTCTGCATGTATGTACGGTTATAATAAAGGAAGGCATAAATTTAAAGGTCAGAAAACTTTTTTTTCTTTCTTTCTTCCTTTCCTCGTTGCTGCTCTTAAAACGCAAATTATTTCATACACATATACATTATCATATATTCATACATATATATATATACATAAGTATATAACTGTTTATATAAAAAGATATGCTTGCGAATTTATTAGATTTTCGTAAATGTTTTCCAAATTTTACTTTACGACTTCAAATCGATCCACCTGCTTATTTGAACTAAATTGAAGTGAAGCCTGAATCAAATCTCGGTTATATAATTTAGCTCTGCCCATAGAGTGAAATGTGAAATAAGTCGAACAGAGTGCTACATATTTACTGGATTGAAGTGTCGAAATACTTTATATTCACCGAGAACGATGACTCTCGGGAAGAATTATAGGTAAAGAGGGATGGAAGGAGGGACTACTGTTTCTGTCCGTTTGGCTTAAACGCGGAAGCATCAAGTACGGTGAGAAAGACCATTGTCGGTAGATTGTTCCACAGGCGAATAGTGTGACTGACGACCGCAACGTTCTGCTAGTATGTTGTGTAATTTGCAGGCAATTCCTGGACTGCTGTGTGTCCTTATTCGACAAACCTTCTTTTATTTCTGGAGAACAATGTATTTATGCAAAGGCACCGCACACACCATATAGCAGAGTTTTGGACACACTTTCGTCAGCCGTTAGCATCTAAGCCTTTTGCTGCATGCGGGCGAGCGTCTTGAAACAAGATTTGGCGGCTCAGAGCTACGGTTCACGTCATTATAACGATGTAGGCAGACGGAGTCCTAAGCAAAGCACATACTAAACATTCATGGAATGGCAAGTATATCGGTATTCAAGTTTGGTATAAAATATCGATCATTATGTATGTAGGTACCAGATAATAAGAGAAGGACAAGATTTACTTATCGGTCATAGAGGGTCGTTTATATATGGGCAGTAAAATATTTTCTTTTATTACTTGCTTGAAATTTATGAAAATATTTAAGGACGATAGAGATAACTTGCTTTATAAATTTTCTTTTACGTATGAATTTCCATAGGCATCTATATGAAATTTCAAGTATCCTTGATGTTATTTTCTTATGGTTTGGAAGGTTTGGAAGAAAAAGAGCAAATTCTCATAGAGATGTTAAGGTTTTTTTTTTTTTAAAGCACTCTAGGCAATTTTCGAAAAATGAGAGAAAATTTCTTCACTTTTAAATACGCGATTGAAAGGAACATAATCAGTTAGTTGAACAAATCGATTTAAATATCATGCATGCATCCATCCAGTCATCCAAGCATTCAGCTATCAACGTCGTAACTTTTCAATGTTAATTTCCTCTTTTAAACCATATTCCTTTGATCTATACGATAATAAGCTATAGTCTACTTATCTTATATAGCTACGTGTCACATATGCACGTGCATATCCCTGGAAGGGTTTCCTAGTCATTGTTTAACGACAATTCCCATAATAAGATTCATTCATTTCATTAACAATGCATCACATATTTTGGATGAAAAAGAGTAAATGAAAAAGAAAAGAAAGAAAGAAAAAAAAAAAAAAAAAAAAAAAGGTTTTGTTTTTTTAAAAAACGATTTCTATATTAAAAATGCTATTGACACAAATACTCGTTTTTTTTTTTTTATTATTCTTCTTTTCTTCCTTTTATTCATTTTCTTTCATTTTACTGCTAACAACAATTGAACAACAAACAACTCAACGTCAGAGGAGTAAGAATTGGTGTATTAATATTAATGGATGAATATGTAGCACAGTGTGTGTAACAATTTATTTTATAAGTGGCAAATGATTATGCAAAACACGTTTTCCACATACAGTACACACACACACACACCAATACATCGTACATCCTAACACTTGACTATAGCACGTCGAATGCATACAACAAACACCACGAACCTACATGTTAATACAAGACCCGATAGTATTTTAATAATAGTAGAAACACTGCAGCAACATGGATTATGCGATTTATAGTATATGTGCAAGCATATATTACGCACATAGGCAGGCATGCAATTCTATGCCGATAGCTAAGATATAATATACAATTTGAAATATTAAGGCTCTGACTCTGGCTCTGGCTCTTGCTCTTGCTCTTGCTCTGGCTATGGTTCTGTCTTTGGCCCGAGTAATGCGAAAGCAACAATTGTGCACATACACATGTTCATTTATCTATAAATATGCATATGCAAGTGTATGCATATGGCTATGGTTACAAACCGATGATATCAAAATGAGAAACATGTGCTTTCTATAAGTCTTATACACTTTTATAACACAGATATAGTTTCTCTCTTACTCTTTTCCTGCCTAAACAAATCAAATGAACGAACTAACTGTTTTACAAAATGCAAATAAACATCGACAATCCATACACTTTGGTAACTAAAATAAGAGGAACGAGAAAATATCGAACTTTTAATCCTGATGGGTATCTCCCAATAGACGGCTATAGGTTAATATGCTTTTTGCAATATGTGCAAAGAGCTGAGCAAAAAAGTCGAAAGGAAAAAAAAAAAAAAAAAAAAAACAAGGCAACCAAACAACTTACGATTACACTTTGCCAGTGAACTTGGGACAGGCGTCGTTGGCAAATTTTTGCCCATTCGTTCATATATCGTAAACCTATAGTCGAATTAAGTGTTGGCATGTTTTAATCTCGATCCGTAAGCCAAGTGCAAACTTTAATTGCACTTTGGCCAATTGGAGAAACAATTTCTCACTGTTTTCTTATGTCGGCGTGCGAAGAAAGTGCGGCAAGCGAAGCTGGATGCCAATTGATGATAGCGTAAGACGTAAAGGTAACTCTCAAATCCACTTATTTGTATTCTTTTCATCTTGTTCTCGGCATATGAAAAATCCTCTAATATGCATCCGACATAATCAACTGCCCGAAATACTTCATCTGCCTGAAATACTTCATCTGCCTTATCTCTTCGGAAAAATATCTTGATGATTTTGAGGTGACATGTATTCCTTAGAAGATTTCGTGATGTACATATTTAGCAATATTTAAAACAACGAAAAACCGTATGCTTGTCTAGCTGTGGCTATGTTCATAGTCACTTACCAAGAAAATCTCTTTCCACGTAAACACTGAAATGACTTCGGGGATTAGTTGTCTCAACTTTTAGTTCATTGCGTTATAATGTTCTGGTTATCGTGTAGCTATGTTGATCACTTTATTATGACCACTTTTGCATTGTGAAGTTTTGTAAGATCTTCACAAGTGTTTGTAGCAAACTTTAGATAAATATCCGCTACATATATAGAGCGTAAGTTGCAGCTTATTATCTGTTAAGAACGAATCAATGCTGTTTCTAAACTCAAACAGCAGGCTTTTCCTGAGATAATATATGGAAAAGTCCGGTTTGCTATTGATGTTTCAGCGATCGGAAGCGTTTTAACAATGGACGAACAAACGGATGAGCCAGGCGTCAATGGAGCCAGGCTAAAATCTTTATCACTTTCTCGGGAGATATTCTCTTATATGTAGTCCTAGATCTTCTATATTGACTGCTTCTTGTGTTCATTAGATAAGTTCGAAATTATCGTTTCTCTGGATATGCATATTCAAATAGCTTTTTAAACGATTCCTATCTGAATGTCTTTCTCAGATATAGCTCGGGCGGGCAACTAATCAGTTGCATGCATGTGATAACAATTCGACTTGAATCTTAATCGTATAATTTCTCGCTGCTTTTCATCTCTCCTTATACTCTAAAAACTCTTATATTTGTTGCGGAAGCTTTCATTTACTCTCTTATGTAAAACACAAACATATGCACGTTTCCTTTAACACGCAATCCTGCACAAAAAGCTCTTTATTGCCTCCTGCCTTGTCGTGTGTGTGTGTGTGTATGTGTGTGTATGTGTGTGTGTGTGTGTGTGTGTGTTTTTCTTTCGGTTTCCATGTCCAGAGCTTAGATTGCTTCAGTTGCCTAAGAGCGACAACAGTTTGTTGCTTAAGCCCCGGCATTTAAGACGTGTTTTTCTTATCTTGGGACTTCTGCCTGTGTGTGTCCGAGTGCTAAGCCTCCCAAAACGAATCTCAAACACAATTCAAACAATCGCCATGGCCTGAAATCAGGAAATGAAATAAATCCCAGCCTTTTTTTTTTTTTTTTTTTTTTGTTTCGCATATGAATGAAAAAATTGAACTACAAACCTATGTAAATATATGTGCGAAATAACAAAAAAAAAAAAAAAAAAAAAAATTAATAAATAAATAAATAAATAAATGAATAGATAAGCACAATACAAACATTTGAAAAATAATTAATATTTTAATATTATCTGTATGTATGTATTTATGTATATATATATTTGAATATATATACATATATGCGAAACGAAAAAGAAAACAAACTTAATCTGCTCATGAATAATTCGAACAATTGTAATTTCAATAAAAGAAAAGAAAACGTGCGCGTCTTGGTCATAAAGATTTGTTTAAGTGCACAGACACACACATATGACTGCACTGTATTTGTGAGAAGCAATAGTAGTAAATGAAAACGCAACTATTTTCATACACGTTCGTATCTGCGTATGCGGCGCCTATACCCTGTGCGATGGATTAGAAACGCTTTCTCAAGTGTTTTTCTGACTTTTTATGGGGAAAAAACATATTTTTGGTATTTAAGTAAACATGTATGTTTGAGCATAATGTAGTCGATAGTAAGTTAAAGTTTAAATATATGCATATGTTTAAATTGATATTGATAAATATTATATAAAATAATTACAAGCATTCTTTTAAGGCAGACACTGTATCACAACGAACTAACACTGGCCAGTGATTTCAAAATAATGCACAAAAGCACATAACTCATATCGAAAGTCAATTCAACGGCTTTCCAGTATCCAGATTCCTTTTACCTAAAACTCACACTTGTTTTCTACACAAATTCAATGCATGCCAATCCATACCGCATACGATTTATCTCGCTTGAAAGAGAACAATATCACGCACGATAGTTTTTTAAAAAACATGCTTCTTATGTTATTTGGTTAAATGAATCGTATTCCAACAAATATTTGTCATTTTGTTATTCACATTCTTTGTCAGAACCATTGTGGCAACACAACAAAAGTTCAGATATTTCTAGAAGAAGAACCGTGGTCAACTGACTATCAAAGGCAGCTTTTTAAAGAGCTTTGCAGAGATTATATCGGAAACTGTATAGTACTACTTACCTGTCGATCGAAATAGATTTAAGTTTCGTTTTGATTGTTATCAGCAATCGCTGATCGATTCGAATCGATGCACCTCGCGCCTTGACGATGGAAATTCTGAAAACAATATTTTTGAAACAGATTTTCACTGTTTTCTCTTACGTGCGTAAAGATTCAGCACAATAACGCAATTAAAATGCGTTTGCCCCTCCCATTTTCAATAAATAATCAAAGTTTGTAAAGCCATAGGTCTCAATGGATGTTCTCTTAACATTTTGTGTAAATGTTTCCTTTAATGTAAATTACATGCGATATGCTTAAAATATTTACGAGACGAGGTAACACAAGTGAATATAAAAACTCATTTGTTAATATAAAGGCAGCAGAGCAGATAGATTTAAAGGGACCAACTAAAAATGGTTGCATCATTTCAACGTAAAAGTTTCTTCTCTCTTTCTAGAAAGCAATTCTTATATCAACCAAATCTATTGATCCGAAGGAACGAAAAACTTAAATACTTAAATTCGATATTTATCATGTTTTTTTTAGACTGGTGTACAGCGAGAGGTGCGATCATCTAATATTTTTTTTATTTATTTTTTCTGAGTAACTGAACAGATAAGAATCGCGTATACTAAGTCCGTGGTTCGCGAGTTCAAATCTCAAGTGCGGGAAAGTGTATTTTGGTCGTAGCTAAAGTGAGTTGTCAGTCGGTAAGGGCATAGACCTTAAACTTAGATTGGACACACATCCACTAGACTTCAGCCACCATTTCCTTATCTCTTTCTCTATCGTCATCTTGTTAGGCAAATAGCTGGCATCCTCTGAATGACATTCAGTCGCATTCATAAAATAAAAATTTGTCTTCTTTTGTCCACCCAATTGAAACTTTCCACTTAAGCACTCACCAAGCATACGGATCCCTAGTACTAGTAACATGTACTAGTCCAGTTTTAATGGGAAAAGCCCTCAAAAGACTTGTCTGGCCACTACGATGAATGACTGGCTTTATGCCCCAATGCTCAAATAATATTTCTTATTATAAAGAACTGTACTTGTCTCGAGCAGCTTATGGTACTTTATGCATTGAACTTTAGTCTTTTGAAACGTCTTAATAAAAATAATGCAAACATATTTGTACACGAATTGTCGTGAGATCAAGCTGCACTACATTTGCTATCCCGTCTCGGACGTTTGGACGAAATAATCACAGATTTTGTAAAAGTATATATATAAGGACTGTCCATACGATTGTTTCCCCCTTTAATGTGAAAGGTTGAAACTTGGTGAAAATGCGTCTTGCAAGCGGACAAGCGATCACTTCTGAAAGCGAGCACGGTCTACTCACAATCTTATAAAATATGTAACTTATGGAAAAGATCGCCCTGTTATTGTGCACAAATCCTCAGTTGGGTCATTTAAAGATATTTTCAGAAAATATTCCCAATTAGACTTATTCCACATCCACAACCAACTGCCCGATGTTAAAAGATATTTTTTGATGCATTTAGTAATTGTTTTAAAGATTGTTTGAAAAGATCCCTTCGGTAATTCCTCAATCATCACCGATGCATACACTTTACGTAATACTTTGCTTTATTATTATTATTCTGGTCTTGTTACAATTCAAATCTCTTCACTCGACTTTCGGCTCTATTGCGATCCACTGTTCAACTCTCCTACGACTCGCTTATGCATGGCTCGACTGGTTTGGCCTTCCGAAAATATTCAGCCTTTATAGCCTTTCACAAGCAAGTTACCATTACCGCTAAATTTGTGCCAATTGTTGTTAATCTATTCGCCAGTTGCCAGATGCATGACGCAGGTAACACGCCATTAATGAATATATGGTTTTCGATTTATTTAGCATTTAGTTTCTTCAAAAATCGACCAATTTTCAAGAAAACTCAAATCATCAAAAACCGCATTATCCACAACTACAATTCGCTTTCAGGTGGCTTTCAGGTGGTTGGACGACGACACTCGAGTGTAGTAGTAGCAGTAGTAGTATTAGTAGTAGATCCAAAATAAATTTTCGGCCAAAAACAACTTGAAAAATTGACAATCCACTTAACTATTTAAGTATTGTCGACCTTTCACTTTCACAAAAGTCCTTTCCTCAGAAGAGATTTTTTGAAACGTAGCGAATTTATGGCAGGAGGATTGTTAATGTATTTAACGTATTCAATTTAGAATATCTGCAGTATTAGGTCAGGTCAGAGACCAGATTTCCCTATGGTATTTCGCCTATGAAAAACTTCACAGTCGGTCGACAAACAGCTAACATCGGGGGTCTTAGCAAGTTCCGTCGGCATTTTATACCTTGCGTTTGAAGGCGATTCGATATCACTTGAATTTTATGCACTTTAGGTTCAGGTCAACGCTTTGCTTAAACATGTAAGACGTCATATAACTGCTACGCTACTAATACACTTTCGCAGTGAACATAGTTATTTAGTTATGTGCTAACTGGGACTGATTAAAAAACTTGTTAGCTTTAATTTGATATTTGTGCAACTGAGCACACACATATACACAAAAACATGAACTTTATCGCCTTAGGTCAACAATGTGCAAATTGAATCCAATATCGCAAAAAAAAAAAAAAAACTAGTTGGGTAAGCAGGCAGAGCCTGGCAACGCGAACTTAACTTTTCCTTTAACTTTATTCTTTTTAATTTGTTAGCAAAAATACATTGCGACGTGCACTAACAGTTTCAGTTCGAATCGTATCGACTACCATTTTTCTAACAGTCAAGTGTTGTGTTGGGCTGTGCTGTACTCTCTATAATTTATCCAAGAATTAAATACACACCCATTCCTTGCCTTTGCATAATCCTTTACTCAAAAATGCTTTGAAAGTAATTAAATAATAAGTAGCTACGACAGCATGTAAAAACAGCATGCGTTCTAACGCCAAGTCCATGCATTTTTTGTGGCTATATATGTAATTGCGATTGCGTGCGATTTTTACGGCTAAATGTGATTATCAAATAGGTCCTTATTGCATTCGTATCCTCTTTATGTGCAAAAATTATTTGCGACTTGTTGTCCTTCTTGTTAATTTATCGTCATTTGTTTCACAGTTTTGCTTTGATATATCTTTGCAGGACTTGTTTTGTCTTGCTTTCTATTCTCTTTTCACGGTTTCAGTTATTTCATCTTTGATTTGAACTGGTTGAGTAAAAGATATCACCTCGTTGCATGTATGTGTATGCTACATATAGCAAATAATAAAAATCATGGCATTCTCCCTTTGGTCATATAAAAACAAAAGATTCTTTCAAACAATTAGAAAAAGAAACGATAGCGATATATATATATATATATATATGTGTGTGTGTATACCTTTATAAGAAAATGTAAAATGGAAACAAACTATATATGTAACTAAATATGTAGGCGCGTCGGATAGCTTAATGGTAGTAGTTGAAAATGGAATACAACATGCAATGACGTCATGAAATTGCACAGTTTTATATATTAAAACAAAAAAAAACCACTGAAACAAGAAGAGCAAAAATATAATGGTGAAAGAAGAAACAAGGCAAAAATACCGAGATTTTTATACTTTATATATACATATATATATATATATATATATACACATATGTTTTAAAAGTAAAAAAAAAAAAAATATATATATATATATATATATAGGTACATATAAATTGTATTCATACGAATTGTGAATACCTGACGCCCTGAGCAAATTATATGAAAGATGAAAAATGCTTAGTTTTTGGAGAGCGAAGAGGAGCGAGAACAGACATTTTCACATAAAGAATTTCTTCAAGTTTTATATTCATTGATATTTATGACAAATTGCAAACCAATGTTTGTTGTCTTACTTTATAAATTTATAGTTTCGTTATCACTTTAATCTCTTAGGTATATTTGACATATTTGTCCATTTGTTTAGTTTGAATTGTAACGCGCGTCAGTTCAACTTTCAAATATCATAATCAATTGTCTTAGCTATGGATTTTTTTTAATACCAGGGCTACCAGGCGAAACTGGACAAATGGACAAGTTGCAATCAATCAGACATAGGCATACATTATTTATTAAGATATCGCGAGACAAACGCAATGATAACATCAACATACCACTATCCTCGTTTGGACACTAGAAAAAAAAAAAAAAAAAACAGAAAAAAAACTAAACTTTCCCCAGAGTTCACTATATAATAATGAAGTGAAAAAAAGTGGAAAACGAAAAGAATAAATAAACAAATAGAAACGTGTGCTGTTGTGCTGGTTTCGTGTTTCCGATAGTCTGAGCTAACACCGAAAGTGCACTAATAGCTTTTAACGCTTAGTAAATATATTTAAAAACTTTTAAATGATTATTAAATGATTCCACACAAAACTCCGACGTTTTGTGTGACAATAAAGTTCACCAATGGCGGCATTCATGCCATTTAAAAATAATCACAGTTTCAGATTTAAATTTAATCAATTGTAAGACATATAATACGGAATGACATTAATAATATATGA